CAACTCACACATACGCAGACTCACATTTAACGTCATGCTTAACATGAGGGTTAGTCCATAAATTCCATAAGCCGTGAAGAGTAAATTGCGAATCCCGACATCCGTTACAGTTCAACCAACAAGGGACATGCGTAGCGTCATTCGCTCCAATTACGACCTGTTTTTTCTTCTTAACGCTCATGAATAAAAAAATAAATGCTTAAAAATAGAGCAGACAGAAGTACTAATACTGTATCACGGAATTTCCTTGTAACCTATCAATTCGCAAAATCCAAATTTACGCTATTGCGCGGGTCACATTCTAGTTATCAGGAATAATTAGAAGTAAAATAAAATTGTCAGGCCACAGATGATGAGAAATGGGGATGGTCAATACACGCAAAAAACCGTAATTGTTGATTAAATGCATTACAGTATACTGTATATCCAAATTCATTACCAATCACACGGGTTAATCGAAAATCTAATACAATATTAGAGTAACTCGAAAAAAACAACACGAAATCAAGGGCTAGAATCTCAGGCATAATTTTTTCAATTTTTGTATGCCGTAATCTCCCCTGACTTTAGATATTTCCCCTTCCATTCCACTTCAAAAATAGGCTGCATGTTAAGCGAATGCAAACTACTGTACATGCATTGTATAATTCGGAGTATAGAGAACATATCCAAGGTTTTATTTTAATTTTTTCCCGGGTTATCAATTCAAGTTTTAAAATTCTAACGTTCTGCCTAGCACTCAAGAAAACACAGGCTATCGCAGAAAACAAATTTAAGTCGACAATACCGAAGTACCGGAACTCAAAACACACCAACCAAGACGATCGAGTGAAAATGCTTGTAAAACACGTCTCAGCACTCGGAACAAAGGAAAAACAGATTAAGTTATCAATCAAATCTGGACCGGAATCCGCTTCTTGCTCAAGAAAATACGTAGTTTCTGTTATTCTCGGCGAAGGCAAACGAGGTTTACTTGGAGAACCTTGGTATAATCAGAAACCTGCAACTTGATCACGCCTATGACGTTGACACGGCGAAATTATCAGAGACCATTCCACGCTGATCGTCTCCAGGTTCCCCTTGCCAACATCAACATCACTGTCAAAAGCGACTCCCAGGCTTGGAATATGAATGTCTGTCGTGTTCAGACATCGTTTTGCGACGCGGTTTCAAGGCACAGCAAGAGATAGCTACCCACAAATAACATTGAAGCCAGCAAGAAAAAGTCACAAAACCGGAGAAGAGACGAGACAGAATTGAAACACTCGTCTGCTCGGAATCGTTCCGCCCGTACACGACGAGACACGAATACCCGCATTTCCTGAAAGTCGGAAATGCTTCCGTGAGTGGGTGCATAATTCCGGAATCACACGGTCCCAATTTCAAAATGAATGAGCTCTTCATTCCCCTCCTGCTTACTTTCAGTTTCAACTCCCGCGGAACGTTGCGCGACACCTAGGCGAAGCTGAGCAAGACTCAGTCCTCGTTTCCAAAGATCATCGCTTGGTGACGCTACAGTATCGACTCCCATCGCGAATGAACGGAATTGCATCACTGTACAGAACTTGAATACAGTAAGCAGAAGTAAAGAATGCGTATATATATAACCAGAAGGGAAACGCCGGAATACTGAGGCATTTCGGGGTATATATTTAAGACAAAATTTAGAATATGCATATCGCCTGGATGAGCCGAAAATGGTCTCAAGCGTCAAGAGGTCTCGTGCATGTCCTCATCCGCGGAAATGCCCGAGTGGTTCCAAAGCGATTTGATGAAGCGTGTGTGTATAAGAAGAGACACTAACCTGAATGTCTTTCAGCAACTCGGCTTTTCTCCTCCGAATGTCCAACAGAAGCTGCTGCTCCTCCGGGGTGAGATCTGAAAATAGAATAAACGTGGAAAAAACGAATGAAAAAAAGAGGTAAAATTCCTTCACTGGACCCCCACGCTCTGCTTTGACACCTCACTTCACTTCCATACAAAAAAACCTCCATCACATATTTCACTCTTTTCTGCTCGTTCTCCAATTCAAAAGTTCGGTTCGATTGAAACATCAAGAGCACCCTCCCCTGTTTCTAGGAGCTATTCAATCGGCCTTTCACGCAAAAGGAGTGCATTTCGGAAAACCGCCGAGCGACTTTCGCACAAAGCCCCCTTTTCCTGCGTTGGATCAACAGAAAATTCCCCCGGATTTGGGCCCCAGTTCACATAGCATTCCAATAGTAACTCAATGGACCCACGGAATACTGTACAATGTATTCGTCCGTACTTGACATTAAGCCAGAAGAGAGGACTCGTCCACGAGGTTCTTGAACTATACATTTCGAAGTTTTCCAATCACACCACTTGGTCTTAGAGAGTTCAAGAATAACGGAGTGCAACACCTAGTCGCAAAAATGAGCAGAAGAGGAAATCATTCAAAAAAGCCGTTACACCAAATGAGCACGTCGAATTTCAGCTCAGTTCTTGACAGACTTTGAAAAATAAATTAGCGAACCACTATTTCTGAGATTCATCCGAATTACTTAATCCAAAAATGTTATCTCGTTGCACATCAGGATATTCCGAGTCTGTAATTTACATTTTATTGCAGAATTATCACCTTAAGTCAATTTCTGCTTCCTCAGGTTCAACTTTGGTTGTGCGTTGAGTTTTGGGTGAGTTCAAGTTTAGTTTAGTTTTATCTTTTCAGAGATTCAGGCGACACCAACTCGACGTTTGAAGCTCAGTAATAAAGTAATCGAGAAGTGTACAGTACCGTACCAAAAAATGGGAAACGTACTCCAATGATGTCAAATTTCACACAAGAAGTTTTATTTTTACATGAATCAAGTCGAGTAAGTGCTGCATCGTGAATATTCTAAGGACTCAAATTCAACCGACTGAAAACGTAGATGACATCTTCAAAATTTCACAGATGGCACAGTACTACACAAAACACTGGAAACAGTTGGCAAGTTATTAACCGTTTAAAATGTTGAAATTTGGTACTCTTGGCTCTCCGTTCGAAATTTTCAGAGCCACTAGAAAATATTGCACAGGAATTTTACGAATTTTACACAGGAAGTTTTATTTTCACATGAATCAAATCGAGTAAGTGTGGCATCACGGGTGTTCTCAGGACTCAAATTCAACCGACTGAAAACGTAGACGACATCTTCAAATTTTTACAAACGTTACAGTACCAAACAAAATACAGAGAACAGTTGGCAAGTTAATTACCGTTAAATGATGCTTAAATTTGGAACTCTTGGCTCTCTCTCTCTCTCTGTTCGGGATTTCGAGAGCCACTAGAAAATTTTACACAGGAATTCAAAAATTGTTAGAAAGGAAGTTTTATTTTCAAATGCATCAACTCGAGTGAGTGCGGCATCATGGATATTCTCTGGGCTCAAATTCAACCGACTAAAAACGTAGATGGCATCTTCAAATGATTACAAACGTCACAGTACCCCACAAAATACAGAGATCAGTTGGCAAGTTAATTACCGTTAAATAATGTTTACATTTTGGACTTTCGGCTCTCTGCTTGGGATTTCCAAAGCCACTAGGAAATATTTGCGAAGAACCCCCCTCAAACGGGGTGTTTCTTCTCGATAGCAACGGCTCGCGCCGAGCTGTCAAACACAGTCCGCAAATATCCCCTTGACCCATTGCACAAGTCAAGATACCCCATTTTTCACCCCACCGCGGAACACGTTCGTGTCTGAGCCACAAAGGCAACAATCCCCACCACTTTCCCTCTTTCTCTCTATCTCAACATCAACGATGTGGTCCTTCTTCCATTCATCATCGTGAATGAAAGAGCGAATTTTCCGTTCCAGTTCGCCAAAAGGGGGCAGTGCTCCGTAAGACATTTGGCACAACTTCCCGACCGCACGCTCATTCACGTCCACACGGTTCTGTTCTCCAAAAAGAGGGGTAGAAAAGGAACATTTCCGGGATGCGAACCCGTAACCCCTGACGTGCGGGTTTGAAAACACCACAGTTACTGGTTCAGATCGCCCGACGTGATACTGAGTAGGTAAGGACAAAAGGGCGCGGATTGCGACTCGAGATGAATCATCGACCACAAATCGAACCAGGAGAAAAGGTGACCTTTTGCAATTTAATCATCTTTCATAAATTAACATTGCTACACTTTTCGGGACACACAAGGACGAAAAAGGAAGAAGGACCACAGAAAGAAAAATAAACGAAGCTTTCCTGGCTAAATATTTTCTATGAGCACCAACTCAATACCACACACGTTCAATTCCAAACACTGTCAAAACTAGGAAACTTGACCCTTTCAACTAGCAATATTCAAGAAAGTTGGTTTATCCACTGTCAGAAAGTGAAGAACACGCATAATGTACGATTCTTACTCCGGAAAACATCAAAAATATTCAACGTCGTAAATTGAAAAGCAGGAGAAAATCCGCATTTGTCACAGGCGTAAAATGAATCGACGCATGAAATATTTTCTCAAAGTTCAAATAAATCGATCTAAGTTGGCATCTAAGGTGGATAATTAGCCAGTAAGACGTCGCGGGAATAATACGAAATAAATTTCAGAAGAAATGTGCGAGGAAAATCAGGAAGGCAAGAGTGAATTTCAGTAAGTGCTGGAAAAACGTTTCTGGAAAATCGCTGCATTGTACGAAAGCATTCAGCCCTTCTTTGCCGTGAACAAGATATATTCTGCCTTTCTTATAGATACACTCTACGTCTAAATTTATTGTAAGATTCGGAAACCCAACCAAAACACCCTTGATTCTTTCCATTTAAGAAACCCCGAAAACGCAACGTTAAAACCGTTGTTACTCGATGTCCTGCATCAATTTGGACGAAAATACGAAGAGACTTGCGATCACTTGTGCATCTAATGTCGGCATCAATGAATGAGCTTCGTACAGTGATTCATGCTTTTTTCCTCTGAAACGTTTCCAACGGCGAAGGAAATTTCGACGCCGAACACCAAAAAATGAATACAAGGAAAGGCCGCCTTTTTTTTACAAATGCAAAAGAGGAACCGTCGCAGAGGCGCCGAAAACCAGCTTCCTATTTCTGGTCATCGAATGCCAAGAAAATTATAGCCCAAATTAAGCAATAAATCACGCGCTTCGATTCATGCACAAGGCCGGGCAAAAATTACTACCATCGTTACAAAACCTTTCTTTCTTGTTTCCATGCACAAAAAATGCATACCCGGAAATTAACAACAACGAGGCCGATCGCATTTTAATACCCGCGTTTTTCCCTCGTCCACGGCAAGAAACGAGCGCATTCTCTTTTTTATTCACACGGGCACTGATTTTCAGGGGGGAAATTTCCCCAATAATATTCGAATTAATCCTCGAGGAATTTTCCGCTAGCGACGCAAACGTTGCACCTCAGGGCACCTGGTGAACATTTTTGTAAGGGGGCTCTCTTGAAAAAAAAATATAAATAAATAAATGCATACAGCCTCCTGATGGCCCCAAAACGGGCAAATTTCGGTCAGCCGCGATAGGGAACAAAAAAAAAAGGGGAGGCAGCAGCCAGGCTTTCCTTGTCTCCCTGGTGACATGAAAGCAGGCCAGTAAAAGGCGCGGATTCTCCCTGAAAAATCGCTTTTCAGGTGAGCGGAAAAGATACCCGAGGAGCCCCCTCCTGGTGTCACGCCCGGGAGTCAAAGCAGACCGTGAAAACGCGTTCAACTCTTTTCAGAACGTGACGCTGATCAACTGCTCTGCGCATCTTCAATGCTTGTCACCCCGAGGCGCGATGATCCGCAACAGCAACAGCCCCTTCGGCGTGGATCGTTAAAAAATGGGAACTTCACACAAAGCTTCAAAACACCTTCACGCGTAAAAAGATAAAAAAAAAAAGAGGCGAGCTTGATGAACCCGACGGCAAACGATTTTTATAGAGCGAAAGAGAGACCTTGACGCATATAAAAAAAAATTTGGGAAATACTCCGGACACAACGTAGCTCGCTAATCAACTCAGATTCAAGGAATATTTGCAGAATGAAGTTTCATGGATAATACTCGTGGTTAGTGAATAGATGCACTTCAATTAATACGAGAAATGGTTAAATAATCATCAGTGAAGGGCATAAAATAAAGTATTCCAGCAGAAAAAATTGAATGCCAGTAATGTCACATCTGTTTATATACAGCAGTCAAAATGGGGCATGCCTCCGTTAATTTACAAAATAACTGCTTTTTCCATTGCAGTCCTAACTAGAGGAACTTCTTGCTCATCGATCGACATTTTAGAGGAAGTGAACACGTAAAGGAAGATGCAAACTTTCTTCTAAATACAGGGACAGTATTATCGAAATTAGCCAGAGAAAAGTTCGAACTGCTTTCACGACGCCAGAACCCAACTCGTTTTTTTTTTTCAAAGAAAAAAAAATGAGACAGCGAGAAAAACTAAAAATTATAGAAATCTAAAGAATAACATGTTCTGGTCAAATAAACTCGCTTCAGTAATAATTCTGACCAACTGAACTTAAACGAAAATGTTTGCTGAAATTAATAGACTCGAGCAATGGGTCAGTTCGAATGTACGTCCGTTCAAGAACAGGTATGAAAATGGACAGTTTTCTTCGGAAAACCTGCTTTGACAAACGAAAGCTTTCATTCAAAAAATTTAAAAACATTTCAATAAAGCAAAAGAGTGACTCGAGAAATGTAGCTAAGCTAGAAAAGGATACCGAAAACCTGAATCATGAACTGTACAATCAACTCTTACTCGTATCCTGCTGCACTAGAAACAATTGAATCGTTTCCAGAGGAAACTTTCACACAGAACAGTTTCAATTGAAACGGTTCCGGTGGTTGAAGACAATTGCTTTGAGATTTAGATCCCGCTTATTCCAGGTGGCATCATATAACAAACAATCATTTCCCCCCAACAGTCCCAAGGACAGTATTTGCTTCACAAGTTCTCATCGGTTATAGTACTTCGATGCATTAATTACAAAGTAGCACTGGCGTGGCAATAACTTGAGCTATGAACCATAAATCAGCACGATATTGCTCTCATCACAGAAACCAAAACCCCCGATAACCCAGCCGATGACGTTGATGGACAGCCCAGGTTTCTCAACAGAGCACACGATCTCCCGCAATTTTCCAAATAAACGGATCATCCCGCGGACAAAACCCGGATTCACATTTTGAAAAAAAAGGGGGGACCTCAAAACTTAAAAAAAGAAGTTCTTTTCAAATCCCAGCCTATTTTTTCCAAGAAGATAAACCCTGCTCCAGGTGGAAGAGATCAACGATCGGCGCGTGAGCAACACGACGGGGAATCCGATCCAATGAAGAAATCAGGCAAGATTTCCTCTGGTTCCCCCAAAGTGCCAACGTTTTTTCGCAGCCGCCGATTGACAGATCGGACCCGAGGTTTCAATGACGGCTCTCGAACCCGAGAAAAACCCCCACCACGGGGGGTATAAATCTCGCACGCGGTTCGTGTCTCAATGATCTCTGCTCGGTACAGTATATAGAAGCCGCGGAAAAGTGACAGGCCTCAACGGATGCTCCTTTACAGTGCTGCTGTTTTGGCTCGTTTTTTTTTTCTTTTAAGCCTCAGACTGGCGATAAATCTGCTCAAGTTCTTTAAAATGGAAGCAATTCATTGAGCCACAAAACGAAAATGTGTGTTTGAAAGAAACTAACCCGAAGACCTTAATTTCAAAGAGACATCACAAGAATGAGAGGCTCACGTTTTTTCCGATTCTTCCGAGCCTCAGGCCAGCAATAAATTTGCTCTACTTATTTGGAATGAAGCTAAGTTACTCTCATCTCTAGCCGCAAAGCAATAAAAATCCCAAAAAGTGAATCATCCTCAATTTCAAAGGATTTCACAGGAAGCTTCTTCTCTTGATGCTTTCAGTTTTCCGTGGTCAGCGAAATGTCTCCGCTTTTTCCTAAGCGTCGAACTGACGATAAATCTCGACCATTTCAAAATGGCAACAATTTTCTTTCCTTTATTGCCCCAGAACGAAAAGCACGCCCATCAATAAAGAAATTCTTGATCATGAATCAACCTCAATTCAATGAGGTTTGTTACAAGGGACTTGATTTAGGGCTTTTATTATTGCGGTCCTGAGCCAACTTTTTTGACCAGTGGAAAAAAGTGGAACGTCCTTGAATTTCCCATCAATCTAGTTGTGATTTAAATCAGACAAACGACACATTTCAAGGCTAGCGTTTAAAATATACGAAGCTTCAATTAAAAAAAAACATACTGCACACAAAACTTCGTTTTCTTTCCAATGTTCAAAAGTGCAACGTCGAAACATTCGGATTTCAGGGCAGCAGTAACGCAGTTTAAAACGATTTTAGTAGCTTCAGATTCGAAGCTGACTGGATGACACCGAAATTCATTATTCATAATGGAACTCTAAATTGTCGCACGTCAAAACGTTCTGAATCAAGAATTGATTTAATGATACATTTCCAAAAAGCTCGTATTAAGGGTAGCATCAACTGATTTGAGTTCGTCTTTCACCAGGTAACAAATATTATAAAATTATCAATCTTGAAATGATCTTCTGTGCATCGAAAATTTAATCGCAAACGGTCATCGACCCGAGAAACCTCTCGATTGCGAAAGTAAAAAATAAATTTCCACCTCGCAACTGAAGAAACGAATAGGCTAAAAAAAAATTGGCAAACCTTCCAAGAAGACGTACNTTGAAATGATCTTCTGTGCATCGAAAATTTAATCGCAAACGGTCATCGACCCGAGAAACCTCTCGATTGCGAAAGTAAAAAATAAATTTCCACCTCGCAACTGAAGAAACGAATAGGCTAAAAAAAATTTTGCAAACCTTCCAAGAAGACATACAGTGTTGCACACAACATCAAAACAGGACTGCCGCTGACAAGAGTTTGAAAGAAAAACGTTGACACGCAACGAACGATAGAAAGGTGGGCCAAATCTCATCGTCAAACGAAACGGTGGGCCAACTGAAAGGCAAACACGCGTCTCACAATGACGTCGGTCACAAAACGAAAAAACCTGTACAAATGCTTAAATAAATATCCATCCCCGCAAACATGTGCAAATCAAAGCCGGAAGGAAGCTTGCGGATGATGAATCAAAACCCGAACCACGCGTGGATTCGTCAACTCATCGCACCCCTTTTCCCCCACAGGTTGCGTTAAAACACCTCAACCCTCATTCGACGTTACGCATAGAAATGAAGAATAAAAATAAACAGATCATATCGCTAACTAGAAACTTCTGGTCGCGAAAAAATTTTAGAATCACAAATCAGCCACTTCTATCAACACAACACGAACCGGCAAAAAATAAAACGACAAGCCATTTTTCTACCGTTGAAAATTGAGCTGTTGTTCCGAACAGATACGATATGATAAAAACATTCAACGTCATCAGTGTTGTAAAAGTCGCAGAATAATTTAAGGATTCACGATCCAACAAATGTTCTAAATACTGTATACAGTATTTAAAATAATCACGGGGAAAATCTGCGAATCAGTTCGAAAAGTCCACTGCCATTTTCAAAACAAAAATATTCCGGTTTAAAAACGTTATGGAATAGACAATCTTCGCATTTTAATCTATAAACAACGATATTATCATCTCAACCTCGAGAATCTGGGTAAATGAGAGCCAAATAAAAATAATTTGCACTTAGGAGGCGCTTTTATAAACGTTGAATAAATATTAAACTAATGACTCTAATCTCATTTGTTTTCGTAAAAATTTACGATCAGTTTAAGCGACATTCGCCAGAAAGCAACAACGCTGAAGGATGATTGGAACGAACAAACTTTGCTCAGCGATTTTTACGTTGTTTATGTCATAACTCGTCCTTTCTTAATGACAAGGTTCTAAAAAGCGGAGCGTCTTTTTTTATTTTAGGCAGCTTGCCTTGCACTCGTTGTGCTGTTTTCGGTAGGCCTTCTTCTTGAAGAGGGAGGGGGGGGGGGCAACAAAAAAATGAAATAAAAATAATCCCGTCCAGTGGAAATGAATATCCACGCGTCAAATCCGCGCCGATATCTCCACGGAATCATACAAACCACACGATTCTTTGGCGTGGGGCTACAGTCGGTCCCGAATCGAAATAAAGCTCTCATTTCATCCATCCACATCTTCTCTCTTCTTTTTTTTTCTTCTTCTCCCCCCCTTACCTTTTCTCTTATGGGCCCCTTGGTGCGTGCACACGTCACACGAGGCGACGAAAATCGCGAAAACCGTTAAGGCACGTACCCCAAAATTGAAAGACGGGGCCAGGGCCCAAAAAGCCTTCAATGAAAAATTCAAAACGCCCCGTAATAAGGGGTAGGTGCGGTCCCCGGGGGCTCCCGATTCTGCGTTAGTTACTTTCGTTGTGCTCTCGTCGTAGCTAGGGCTACTTAGAGAAGGGGGTGTTGGGGGTCCTTTTTCTTTATGCTCCCAGACGAGTATTCAAAACTGTCAAGGAAAATGAGTGGTAGTACGGATATGCACATACGTAGACAGATGTACAGTATACTGTATCACCAAGTCTTCTTATTTTTCTCGATTCTCACAAGTTCGCAATATATGTTCCAAGTTTCAACCATACAGTTTCAATACAGAGAAGACAGATAGTTGATGATCAAAGGAACCTTAGCCCGTTAAACTTGCATTTTCAATTAATTTCGAGGTGGTCCGAGTTGAAACAACTATTCAAGCAAATAAAAAACCCCTCCCAACTTAATTCGAACAACCATGCGCAAGTATAAATGATCAAGAAATTCTGTATGGGTAAAGATGAATTTTAATTTACCTCGGAATTCCAATTGGAAATTGAACAAATCTAGCGAAACGTCTCTTTTACCGACAACTTTATTGGTTTCACAGCAAAAGAGAGGAGTGTGCAACCCATATCATAAGTGCAATTATCTCCGGGATTTGATACACTTTTTTCCCGCTGAATTATGATAAGTATGGCACTTATGTTCAAGTAAATTTCTTCTTCATGTGCTGAAACCCCTAACAACTAAGCGGAATTTCGTTGAAGTAATTTCAGAACAGTAATACTAAAATGCAACATAATTATTTTAACGCAATCAATGAAAGCAACACGAGAGCAGCATCGATCCCGATGAATCTCTTCCCCCACAACCCCCAGGAAAAAGAAATACGAGGGTCTGCTCATAAGTTTTGACAGTTCCTTTTACTCACCATCATTGGATATGCACAAAAGTAGACAGATGTACTGTATACTGTATCGCCACAAACTCTTCTTATTTTTCTTGATTCTAACAAGTTCCCAATATCTGTTCCAAGTTTCACCCATACAGTTTCAATACAGAAAAGACCGATATGTAGTTGATAATCAAAGGAATCTTAGCCCGTTAAACTTGCGTTTCCAAATAATTTTGAGGTGGTCCGAGTTGAAACAACTATTCAAGCAAATAAAAAACCCCTCCCAACTTAATTCGAAAAACCATGCGCAAGTATAAATGATCAAGAAATTCTGTATGGGTAAAGGTGAATTTTAATTTACCTCGGAATTCCAATTGGAAATTGAACAAATCTAGCGAAACGTCTCTTTTACCGACAACTTAATTGGTTTCACAGCAAAAGAGAGTAGTGTGCAACCCATATCATAAGTGCAATTATCTCCGGGATTTGATACACTTTTTTCCGCTAAATTTTATGATAAGTATGGCACTTATGTTCAAGTAAATTTCTTCTTCATGTGCTGAAACCCCTAACAACTAAGCGGAATTTCGTTGAAGTAATTTCAGAACAGTAATACTAAAATGCAACATAATTATTTTCTTGGCAATTTTTTTTTACTTGACAAGACCCATCAATTTCAAAGGAAAATAATCCTTCGCAAATCAAGATATGGCTTTTCGAACCTATGTTCTTCATTTAAATGTGGGTTGGAGGATCTTGACTTGAAGTCTTGAAAGCCTGAAGAATTCCCCCACCGAACACGATTATCTGCATTGTTTTGATTGCTCATATAACACGTTTAAATATTTTCTTCGGATTTACCAGACATGCCATAGCTGAAGCCGACTGACAGGTTAAACAAAAAGAGACGCATTTCTTCTCAATCCAAAAAGCAAAAACAAAAAATTAAAACCATGTGGAAATATTTCAAGTCGACTGATGCAACTTCTGAATCAGCCCTCGCGCAATCGGAAGGCAATAATAAACGGAAACCCCCGTGAAGGGGGGGAGGAAGAGAGGAAGAGGACGACGACAGTGAAAGCAGCGAGTGATTTCTTTGACGCCGCGGGATCCAGGTTCCTGCTTCGGCACGCGAGCGATCAATCAAAAAATTATTCGGCGACCGATTTTTCTGTTGGCACTTCTTCCCTCAGCCGCCCCCGCGCCACACGTCAGCAATGGATTCTTCTTCGGCGACTCCCAACTTTTTTTTTTTGCTTTTGCTTTTCTTTTCGCCACCCCGCTTTCTTCTCAGCTCCCCTCCGCGTATCAGCTCCCGAAAAAAATCCATAATTCAAACATTCCGGAGTCTGTTTTTCAATGCCACCCCCGAAAAATGCGTCATACGCGAAATTTAACTCGGGATGGGAAAAGCGAGCTGAGCATTCATGAATTTTTCATAGGACAAGAGAGGGAAAAAATGCGAACGATCCTGGTAAACATCCACATTCTGGACCCTGGCTGGGAAAATTTCATACAGTATATGCTCCCGTTGACGAAGTAATTTTCATCACGTCTCTGAGCCTCGAATAATCATTATTCAATGCTCACATTCAGCATAACATGGACTTCATCAAATCCTGGAGTTCATTATTCATTTTGCTACGTCATGAAACTTCAGAAAAACTACTCATTCAGATGAGAAATGAAACGTTCCCAAGGAAATAATGTCCACGACATTTTCAACAGCAAAAATAGAGAACAATTCGGGAGGGGTTCTTAAAAACGTTTCACCGAACCTTAACGACTTTCAAGCGGCATAAAATTGACTATCCAGTAGAAATTTCGACAGGAAAACTTGTCTTCTTAGTCTGTAAATTATATTATGAGCGTTAATTCATGAGAGATCATATAAATCCCGGATATAAAAACAAATTTACCGTTCAAAAGGTGCAAAGCATTTCGGCACATTTTGAAGTTTCACTGCAATCGAATAAATAAATCGTTCCCACAGCCGGAGCAAAAAAGGAAAAAGAAAACGGCTATCATTAAAATTACGGTATAGTATGAAGTTCAAAAGCAAATTATTTCCATCTCACGCCGAATTAACTCTTCCGCAAAGGCTGGGAAATAAATTAAAAGCCCGAATGAAATTCGACCCATGACATCTTAAATACATCTCGTGGCGATTCCAAAAACAAGAAAGACAAATGGAAACACAGACCGTTATCCCTCTCAGCAATTATTCTAAATTTGGCTTGCATCATTGATGGGTTAAAAAGAAGAAGAATAAATAAAAAAAGAACATAACAGTCCAGAACCGAAAGGCGACACTGAATAATTGAAACGCACAATCCAGAACCCGTTGCCCAATTCATCCCGACGATAGTCCTTTTGTCCCTCTCAATTCATCGATCTCAATTTTTTCCAGGTCTTTCCAAAGAACACACACATGGAACAAACAGAACTAGCTCTATATTTTGCTCAGAAACGTAATGAGCACTTGCAGATTTAGAAAAAAAAATACAACAGAAAAAAAACTGCCGGCTGGCTGGTAAGCTTCTTCCCTGATGACCAGGGGGCCAAAGGCCTCAATTACGTCAAAAAACGTAATAACTCATATCCCCTCTGGTTGAAGCAGAAAAAGTTCATAAATCTGGCGAAACGTTGCATTATCCACCACCGGGATACGGGGAAATCTACGCCTACTGTTTCGGGAAAGACAACATACACACAGTTCGAAATCTGGGTAATCTGTTAGCTACTATTTGGCACCCCCCAACGGCGTTTGAAATGAAAGGGATTCGACGGAAGGAAAACATCCCTCTGGATGAATTTCTGAAGGTGCAGGATATCGAACACGGCGCCCGAATTCCTGAATTAAATGATTTTCTCCGACATAATTTTAGATAGTGCACAATTACGGCAAGATTATTGCAACCAAAGATATTCAGGCATTTTGACTCCTCGCAAAATAAGCGAAAGGCGTGGGTTAAAATTGCTCCAACATTAAGTATTTAGATAACAAAATTATACGTACAGTAGTATTCTCAGATTTCCGAAGAAAGAGGCCCCATCACTATCAAGGTTCTGGTACAAAAAAAATGAATTCCGCGACATCAACTCTTCAAAAAAATTGAATTTTCGGCAAAAAAAAAATACACGACTATTTTCAAATAAAACGTGCAACTTCAAAGGTAGCCCGGAATGTCCCGGAACCCGGACTACGATGAAAAAAGCATCGACTCTGGTCAAACACGTTCGTGAGGAATCAATGCTTCACTGCATATTACCTCCGTCTTTCGCAAAAATTACTACATCAAGCTACTGGGAATTACTGCATTCTGTTGTAATATCACTCAAATTACTGCGCATCTGCGAGTAACACGGCTTCGAAACCGCGCTTGAAAATTTTCAGAGACTGCATTTAAAACAGCTCACTCTTTTCGTCCGTTCTATTATTTAAATTAATTTTAAGCAGAACGCGACGAACAAAAATTTTGATAATTTTATATTTCAAATCCCGCACAAATAGCTCCATCGGGATATAGGACGATGATTGCATATCAGAAGCCATTCTAAAAAATAAATTCACGGATGACAGCCCGCATCCCATTTACAGCTCGAATTACCGAGGCCAGGTGCGGCTGGAAGAAGACATTTTCTGGCACTACAGTATATTAAATTTCTCCTAACACAGAACTTGAATGGACGTTAAGACCACCGAAGAAAATTGCGCTCCAGAGAATATGCACTTAAAAGGATGCCCGAGGAAATTATAGGAAAGGGTTTTCGAAGAACAACATTTTCGAAACCCCAAAGCTTGAAACATTAAATCTCTACTCAAAAGGAAGTCCAAACCAATTATTATGATTGCCAAAGTTTTTCCAGATTTAGTCCCAGGTGAAATGATTTTCACAACTCGGAGGTGAAACTTGGAGGCATGCATTATACCCTATTTCAAATTGCGAAAGTTGAACTAAGTTCGAGACCAAATTCAGATCACATTCACATTTTTTTAGATGTTGCAGTTTGAATTAAACGCTATTTAAATTTTGCCAACTTCTTCAAAATTTGAGTTTTTAAAAAGGCTTATAAAAACAATGGTACGACAAATACAAACATGGGACAAGAGCCATTCAAAAGCAATTACAGTACATCAAAATTTCCTTTGAGCCTACATTTATTTACGAGAATTTATACAGTACTCAAATTTAAAAAGAAAAGTTGACCAATCGAGGCAGTTCTGACTTGTTGAGAAAATGCAATTTGAAGTGCAATACAAAAAAGAGAAAGAAATTACCGCTGAATTTTTACCTGATGAAATTTGGACTTCAAGCGCTCTCAAAATAAGTACGGTACAGTACAGTACCGCATACGTTTAAATTCATCCATCGATGAATGCCGATTCGAGATACCAACATACAAAAATACGAAACGGTAGGGCTTAAAAATTAAAAACACCTTGATTGAACGTTTCCGTTCCTTCATCAACGAATAACCGGTGTCTGAAGATCAGCGTAAATTGTTTTTGGGACATCCTGTAAACGCACTGCAAAAATGATGACGATTTTCGTCATTGAAAAAAATGTATATATATATATAAAATACGGAGAAAGCTGAGGAATAATTATAGACATCGTGGCAAGACTTACATCTGGAGTACCAGGCGGAATTGAGCGTGCACAGCATGACCGTCTCGCAGTCGGGCTCCACCTGGCTACATTCGTTCCTCCCGCATCGGTCGGCGCAGAAGTTGGGCGGAAGTCGGACGGAACCACACGTGTCCAACATTCAACGAAATTTCCTTCCTTCCTCCGGCTTCCCGGACTCAAAATATAATGATAATCTCTACCCCCCACAAATCTCACTTCTTTTTTTTTTTCTTCTTCTTCTTCTGAACAGTTCGCCGCTCACACTCCCAGCGATCGTTTTCTTTTTCAAGAATGACGAGTTCGCAAGACCATACGAGCACTACTGGGACACTCGCAATATCCACCACTTATTTTTTTAAAAAGATCCCTAACGATGCTTCTTTTTCCTTTCTTGAAGCAACGCGCAAATAAAAGTGATTAAAACCGGATCTCACAAGTCCACACTGAATAGCACGCATACAATTTGCACAGACATTGACACACGACGTGGAATTCCGATGAAACATTCACGACTTTGAGTCGACCGACTCGCAACTGTCGAAGTTATTGAGCATTTGCTTGAAAAAAAAATCATTAGATAGATCTTTTCAAGTTTCCGAATCGGGGGACTCGAGTTTATCTTCCGGTGACATGATTTCGGAATCATTTTTTAAAGGATATAAGCATGACGCGTTCACCAAATTTCAATCCAAATGAAATTTCCCAGTGGATTCAAGATAAAAGTCCAATGACTCGCCTTTTAAAGTTCATTACAATAAAGTTTAAAAAAAAAACGAGAAAATATTCAAGAAAAGTTTGCGCAACCAAGTTTATAGCAGGTTTCAATCTTTCCATACTTAAGATAATTTTTCGTGCATTCGATCACACAAAAACACTTTTCTCGCATGCGGAATATTGTAATTCGAAAAATATCAGAAGATTGCACTTAGAACAAGCCATAACCTTTGGTCAACTTTTTGTCATAAAAAAATACGTGCAAATTGAGTTTTCGTGAACCGTGGGTCCGAATTTGAAGCGCAATTTTCAAATGTAACTTATAAACTTGATTTGGCACATAAAAAAAACACAGAATTAAATTCTGAAGAGTTAAACAGTCTAGTATTTTTCGGCATCTGCAAGATCCTTTGAGCAAAAAAATCCGCCATCACAAAGATGTGATGGTTATACTTGATGGTCCGGAGATAAGAAACGACTTTTCCTTTCAAAGCTTTTTTTTTTCAGACTACGGTACAGTACTTTACTGAGAAAGTCCTGAATTTCCTCTTTCTTCTCCTCGCGAAGCACTCCATCTAAGCATTGTCCACGGACTGAAACTCCCCGGGTGGCACACGAAAGAGAGTAAAACCCAATGGCGTGGGCGGGGAAGACCATAACCCAACTTCGCCTTCACCTCACACATACGATTAAGATTAAGGATGATGATAATCATCTCCAGCCATTTATCCAACAAGCAACCAAGCAAAAAAAAAAAAACGAATGAACGCTACAAGCAAAGACAAAAAAGACCACAGGAAGGAATAGAGAGAGAGAGATTAGGGATTCGACGGAAGGAAAACATCCCTCTGGATGAATTTCTGAAGGTGCAGGATATCGAACACGGCGCCCGAATTCCTGAATTAAATGATTTTCTCCGACATAATTTTAGATAGTGCACAATTACGGGAAGATTAATGCAACCGAAGATCTTCAGGCATTTTGACTCCTCACAAAATAAGCGAAAGGCGTGGGTTAAAATTGCTCCAACATTAAGTATTTAGATAACAAAATTATACGTACAGTAGTATTCTCAGATTTCCGAAGAAAGAGGCCCCATCAGTATCAAGGTTCTGGTAAAAAAAAAAATGAATTCCGCGACATCAACTCTTCAAAAAAAAAAATTGAATTTTCGGCAAAAAAAATACACGACTATTTTCAAATAAAACGTGCAACTTCAAAGGTAGCCCGGAATGTCCCGGAACCCGGACTACGATGAAAAAAGCATCGACTCTGGTCAAACACGTTCGAGAGGAATCAATGCTTCACTGCAAATATTTCCTCCGTCTTTCGCAAAAATTACTACATCAAGCTACTGGGAATTACTGCATTCTGTTGTAATATCACTCAAATTACTGCGCATCTGCGAGTAACACGGCTTCGAAACCGCGCTTGAAAATTTTCAGAGACTGCATTTAAAACAGCTCACTCTTTTCGTCCGTTCTATTATTTAAATTAATTTTAAGCAGAACGCGACGAACAAAAATTTTGATAATTTTATACTTCAAATCCCGCACAAATAGCTCCATCGGGATATAGGACGATGATTGCATATCAGAAGCCATTCTAAAAAATAAATTCACGGATGACAGCCCGCATCCCATTTACAGCTCGAATTACCGAGGCCAGGTGCGGCTGGAAGAAGAAATTTTCTGGCACTACAGTATATTAAATTTCTCCTAACACAGAACTTGAATGGACGTTAAGACCACCGAAGAAAATTGCGCTCCAGAGAATATGCACTTAAAAGGATGCCCGAGAAAATTATAGGAAAGGGTTTTCGAAGAACAACATTTTCGAAACCCCAAAGCTTGAAACATTAAATCTCTACTCAAAAGGAAGTTCAATCCAATTATTATGATTAACTTTTTTCAGATTTAGTCCCAGGTGAAATGAATATCACAACTCGGAGGTGAAACTTGGAGGAATGCATCATACCACTATTCCAAATTGCGAAAGTTGAACTAAGTTCGAGACCAAATTCAGATCACATTCACATGTTTCTAGATGTTGCAGTTTGAATTAAACGCTATTTAAATTTTGCCCACTTCTTCAAAATTTGAGTTTTTAAAAAGGCTTATAAAAACAATGGTGCGACAAATACAAACATGGGACAAAAGAGCCATTCAAAAGCAACTAAATCAAAATTTCCTTTGAGCCTACATTTATTTACGAGAATTTTTACAGTACTCAAATAAAAAAAAAAAGTTGACCAATCGAGGCAGTTCCTACTTGATGAGAAAATGGAATTTCAAGTGCAATACCCATATAAAAATAAATTACCGCTGAATTTTTGCCTGATGAAATTTGGACTTCAAGCGCTCTCAAAATCAAGTACAGTACAGTACTGCACACGTTTAAATTCACGCATTGATAAATGCCGATTCGAGATACCAACATAGAAAAATACGAAACGGTAGGGCTTAAAAATTAAAAACACCTTGATTGAACGTTTCAGTTCCTTCATTTACGAATAACCGGTGTCTGAAAATCAGCGTAAATTGTTTTTGGGACATCCTGTAAACGCACTGCAAAAATGATGACGATTTTCGTCATTGAAAAAAATGTATATATATATAAAATACGGAGAAAGCTGAGGAATAATTACAGACAGCGTGGCAAGACTTACATCTGGAGTACCAGGCGGAATTGAGCGTGCACAGCATGACCGTCTCGCAGTCGGGCTCCACCTGGCTACATTCGTTCCTCCCGCATCGGTCGGCGCAGAAGTTGGGCGGAAGTCGGACGGAACCACACGTGTCCAACATTCAACGAAATTTCCTTCCTTCCTCCGGCTTCCCGGACTCAAAATATAATGATAATCTCTACCCCCCACAAATCTCACTTCTTTTTTTTTTTCTTCTTCTTCTTCTGAACAGTTCGCCGCTCACACTCCCAGCGATCGTTTTCTTTTTCAAGAATGACGAGTTCGCAAGACCATACGAGCACTTCTGGGACACTCGCAATGTCCACCACTTATTTTTCTTTAAAAGATCCCTAACGATGCCTCTTTTTCCTTTCTTGAAGCAACGCGCAAATAAAAGTGATTAAAACCGGATCTCATAAGTCCACACTGAATAGCACGCATATAATTTGCACAGACATTGACACACGACATGGAATTCCGATGAAACATTCACGATTCTGAATCGACCGACTCGCAACTGTCGAAATTATTGAGCATTTGCTTGAAAAAAAATCATTAGATAGATCTATAGATCTTTTCAAGACTCCGAATCGCGGGACTCGAGTTTATCTTCCGGTAACATGATTTTGGAATCATTTATTAAAGGATATAAGCATGACGCATTCACCAGATTTCAATCCACATGAAATTTTCCAGTGGATTCAAGATCTAAGTCCAATGGCTCGCCTTTTAGAGTTCAATACAATAAATTTTTGAAAAAAAAAACCAGAAAAAATTTTGAAGAAAAGTTTGAGCAACCAAGTTTATAGCAGGTTTAAATTTTTCCATACTTGAGATAATTTTTTTTTTGCATTCGATCACGCAAAAACATTTTTCTCGCATGCGGAATACTGTAATTCGAATAATATGAGAAGATTGCACTTCGAACAAGCCATAACCTTTGTCCACTTTTTGTCATAAGAAAACTTACAAATTGAGTTTCATGAAGAATCCAGTGACATATCCGTGGTTCTGAATTCGAAGCGCAATTTTCAAATGCAACTTATAAACTTGATTTGGCAAATAAAAAAGCACAGAATTAAATCCCGAAGAGTCAAACAGTCTAGTATTTTTCGGCATCTGCAAGATCTTTTAAGCAAAAAAATCCGCCATCACAAAGTTGTGATGGTTAGACTTGATGCTTCGGAGATAAGAAACGACTTTTCCTTTCAAAGCTTATTTTTTCCATATTTTACGGTACAGTACTTTACTGAGAAAGTCGTGAAGTTTCCTCTTTCTTCTCCTCGCGAAGCACTCCATCTAAGCATTGTCCACGGACTGAAACTCCCCGGGTGGCACACGAAAGAGAGTAAAACCCGATGGCGTGGGCGGGGAAGACCATAACCCAACTTCGCCTTCACCTCACACATACGATTAAGATTAAGGATGATGATAATCATCTCCAGCCATTTATCCAACAAGCAACCAAGCAAAAAAACGAATGAACGCTACAAGCAAAGACAAAAAAGACCACAGGAAGGAATAGAGAGAGAGATTTAAAAAGAAAAGCGAGGCAAAAACAAGGACGAGCGGCGCAGGGTTGCGTCACCCGGCAATCGAAGACGTCGGCGGAGTGGAACAAGTGATCATCTTCCTCCCCACGGGCATCCATTTCCCTTTTCGCGCAAGCGGGTCAAATTTCCGCGTCGTCTTCGCAAGGGTAACTCAACAATTTCTAAAAATTTCGTCTCACTTTGTTGCCGCCAAAAAATTAAAATAAATAATGACCGATCAGTGCGAAAACGAAGTCGAGGGTGATAAAAAAAACGAGTGCATCGGAAACAAGCGAGATGCATCGCATCAGCCAGAAAAAAGCAATTAATTTACAGATGAACTGTCTCGACAAAGATTTTCTTTGCACAGTACAACGAATTTTTTTGTCTCTTCCCATATTATAGGAATACTGTACAGGGTTTATCTACAAATAAATTCTTTACACAACGCATTTTTTGGT